ATCTAGACTTTGATTGCTATATTTTCAGTTAATATTGACCTTACTGAGCTTTAGCCATATCCGCTGCCTATCATAAAAAATGTTAAGTACAGTGAACCTTTCTAAAATATACAGTAGTAAAGAGACAAACCCACCAGCATTATAGTAGCCAAATTCTTGTTTGTGGGCTGTATATATAAAATTGACTTGAAAAAGTTGCTGATTTTAGAGTACTGGCACCTTTTTCATTCCAATTCAAGCACTGCACTATACAATTAATTGTAATCATATACTGTATGCACAAAAGATTTGCCACAATACACCCACATATTGCCCTCAAAGTATTGTAACTCAAAGCCAGCCATACACAAACGGATCATATTTAGATAATCTTATCCGGGCCTCATAACTTTTTCAGGGGATGCTCAAATGACGCGAGAGAATAAATATACATTTCAAAAGAAGATCACAGAGAATAGCCTTTAGGTGTGTGATTAGGTTTAGAGTGGTAGTTCAGATATCTAGTAGCTTTAGGGAGTTTCACAGCCAGAAACTGATATGTGAAGACTAGAGATGTTAAGATTCACCGATTCGCATCGGTGCACCGGCATAAACGTTCAAGATGCGAGTGCACCGGTTGAAAGAGTGCACATCGGCTACAGTTTGGGTTGAACCGGGTTGAACTCGCGATGCATCGATGGCGTAGCGTCTTTGCATCGGTAAAAAACCGATTCATTCATATAAAATCCCCTCATCTTGTCAACGCTCAGCAGAGACGATCTTTGATATTTGCTTCGCCACTACGGAGGCCGAGAGTCTCAGTTATCAACACACACGGAAGTCGAGGAGAAAGAGAAACACAGCGCACCGAAAAATACCTACAAATCAAACGTTTGGTAACACTTCGGATTGTTCAAGAAAGACGGTGTAATAGTCCTTTATGCTATATAGTTGACCGCAGGTCATGGAGAGTAATAAGGTATCCGTAGACTTTTGTATGAGGTATCTTTATTACTTAACAGGTCTACAGCCATGATACATAGATCCGTCCTAGATGCGGGCTTGCATACACACAGTATCACTCCGCAGCCGCACCCCATCAGTAACGTCCTGATGGTAAACTTGAAAAATCGCTCGCAAATTGTTAACGATGCCGAGCCGATTTAAAGTACACAAGTAGTACGAGGAACTTAGCGACGCACATAAAGAGGCGACATGGGGTCTGCGGCTGAAAAGAGAAACCTCAAAGTTAGACATATGAGTTAAATCACTCAGTGAGGTGTTCTGTCAGAGAGAGTGGTGTTTAGTTTACAGCAGCCTGTGACGGCCAATAATAATTTAAATGTATTCCTCACTGTAAGCAGTTATGAAATACCTGTTTGTGAAAGGTTATTTGTATTCTTTATTGTTCATATAGAACCCACCGCTTTCTGCTCACTGGTGAGTTAGCCTATGAATGAGTTAAGCACATCAGGCTGGCAGCTGTATGGGCATTGCTCTATGGTAGCTGTTATTTGCACATTGTTAATCATGAGCAATGCATCCTTACATTGTTTAACTGTGAGGTGTTATACAATTGTACTCTGGAGAGCTTTTAAAGGTAAACAAATAAACGGCATGATGGGATGTGCAGTACCAAATATGTAAAGCACTTTTTTGTTAATGTATGATTTGCTGCATATAAGGAATAAAACAAAAATCCTCTGTCGTACCAAATTGAAGTATCATTATTTTTGCATCGTGTTGAATCGCATCGTATCGCACCGAATCGCATAATGTTGAATCAAATCGTATCGAACTGTATCGCAACAGGGGTGAATCGTATCGTATCGCATCGCCTGGTGTTTCAAATGTATCGTTAATGTATCGTATCGTGGCAACGTATCGAGATGCGCATCGCATCGGCCTCAGTGATGGAGATGCACATCCCTAGTGAAGACAGATCATTTTTATACCTTTGATTGAGTCCGAAGTTATGTCTAACGAAAAATATTTAAATCAGGAGAGACTTATTTTGGCTTAAAAAACATGAATTGACGTGTGCACGAGATACAAGACATTGGAAATCTTTAAAGATTTCACTCCATGGTGATATTGGGGATCTTAAGGTGGAGGTGCAGCTGTCTAAACGCCAGCAGTGAGGTTGATGCGTGAAGAGAAGCTAAACATCTGGATTTGATGAGATGGTGTAACTATGATTGATGGTGCAACATAGCTTTGGACTGAAAAAAGTTGAACTCAAGTATAACCTTGGGTGACTGCGGCTGTGAGGTGGAGCGGTTATCTAACAATTAGAAAGTTGATAGTTCGATTCCAGCTTCTATATCCATAGCTATGCAGATGACACACAAATGTACGTAACAATTTCACCAGGAGACTATGCTCCAATTCAATAACTGAGTAAGTGCATTGAACAAATCAACGACTGGATGTGTCAGAACTTTCTCCAATTAAACAAATATAAAACTGAGGTAATGGTTTTTGGAGCCAAGTCAGAACGTATAAAAGTTAGCGCTGAGCTTCAGTCTGCAATGTTCAAATCAACAGATAAAGCCAGAAATCTAGGTGTAGTCATGGACTCTGACCTGAGTTTCAACAGTCACATTAAAACAGTTACTAAATCAGCCTACTATCACCTAAAGAATATATCTAGGATTAAAAGACTAATGTCACAGCAGGATTTGGAAAAACTTGTCCATGCTTTTATCTTCAGTAGACTCGACTACTGCAATGGTGTCTTCACAGGTCTCACTAAAAAATCTATTAGAAAGCTGCAGCTAATTCAGAACGCTGCTGCTCGAGTCCTCACTAATACTAAGAAAGTGGATCACATCACTCCTGTTCTGAAGTCTTTACACTGGCTTCCTGTGTGTCAAAGAATAGATTTCAAAATACTGCTGCTGGTTTATAAAGCACTGAATGGTTTAGGCCCAAAATACATTTCTGACCTCCTGCTAAATTATGAACCATCCAGATCTCTCAGGTCTTCAGGGACTGGTCAGCTTTCTGTCCCCAGAGTCAGAACTAAACACGGTAAATCAGCGTTCAGTTATTATGCTCCAAATATCTGGAACAATCTCCCAGAAACCTGCAGGTCCGCTGCAACTCTTACTACTTTTAAATCCAGGCTGAAGCCTTTCTTTTTGTCGCTGCTTTTAATTGAACTATTCATATCTTAGACTGCACTGTAACTTTTATCCATGTATTTTTTCTTTTAATGTTTATTTTATTAGCTTTTCTTTTTAATGACTGATTTTAAATGCCATTTTCTGAATGTCTTTCATTTTTGTAAAGCACTTTGAATAGCCTTATGTTGAAAAGTGCTATATAAATAAACTTGCCTTGCCTTGCCTTCTACTGTCAACATGTCGATGTATCCTTGGGCACTTAACCCCGAGCTGCTGCATATGGCATGGCCAATAATTAGTATAACTAACTACACCTTGTATAACTTGAATAACTATGCATGACATTGATATTGAAGTGACTGTTATTTTGTATATATTGATTGTTGTGTTTTGTATCTTAATGTGTGCATATGTGTAAATGTGTCTGTTGATTGTGTATATAGGATATACATATTTTAATATATATCTGACTGTATATTGTATCATTTTATTTTTGTATTCGGGATTGTTGGAAGCGTCATTTCGATCTCTCTGTCTGTACACACAAACTGAAAGATTGACATTAAAGTTGACTTTGACATATATGTATGTAGTTAATAACTGAAACCTTCTGCATAATAGTTAAACTGGTTTAAATGCATACAGTTCATGAGTCCACAACACCTACTGTAATACAATAGTGTTGCTGCGTCTGTCTGATTCTTAAGATGGCAGTAACTGGATACATTTTCATACTTCGCTAAGAACTTCAGTTTTCTTGGCAGGTCTCTATCCTGGAGGATCGTACTTTGGAAATCAGGAGTGTTATCTTTGAGGTGAGGTTTATTGCTGGTTACTAGTAGGCTGTTGATAAAACTGACATTGCCCTGGCAGCGTGATCAAAGTGATAGCTCTAATGTTTATGTTGCGAGCGGTAGAGAGGAAAGGAGATCAAGTGAGTGGTGTACAGTTCATATTTCTATCAGAAAAGTTATCTGTAACACATAAATAGAACCTAATAAACATGTTTCTTAACCCTCCGGTATCACTGTGGACGTTTTTGTCCATATGGGTCATTTTTCACTTTTCATTTTGCAATAACTTTGGTTGTGTTAGTGCAAATGGCCTGATTTTTTGTAACAAGGCTATTTTCTTGATCTATTTTGGAATTCCAATTTTTTTCAAATCGGTCTTTAATTCACTGTATAACAAATCGACTACGCAAAGTGATTTTCCTCTATTGATGTTTCTGTGTGAAAATATTTGTAATAAATCGTATTAACACAATGTGGACACATACAGGGAATTCTGAATACATAATGTTTTATGATCACCAGGATATAGGCATGTCCAGGGCTCCGTACTCCAGGGCTCCGTAGGCATGTGTAAAAATGTAATTAAAGTTAATGATCAAAGACTTTTGTTTGTCTTTGGTTTCACTTTGTAGTACTATAACTTTCCCGAACTGAGTCCCTACTGTTCTATTTCATTTGTATTACTTAACATCAGTCAATAATTTTTATAAACCTGGCAAATGTTACATCTTACATTTCAGTTTTTCTTTCTTAAAACATGAATAAGATATTGTAATTTTAGCAGAGTAAATATTGCCTCTATTTCAGCGGCAGGTAAAAAGCTCTAATAGGATTTTGGATAACAGCACAGACCTTCTGTGTTTGACCATAACAAAGATCATGTAGTCAGCTGTGGCTTCCTCACAATGACATCCTGCATGTCTAATAATATATTAATAGGTTAAAGTATGACATAACAGCCAAATAACAAAAGCATGTCTAACAGCCATGACAAACCCATTCAGCCAGTGAACTTATACAAAAGGTGTTGTTGTTTGGTGGCTCATTGTATGATTATATGTTGTATTATATGATTGAGTTATCCTAGTGAGTCACTCACCTGTTCAGAGTTCTTCCCAGAGTCCTTCATCTTCTGGTCTGCTGCCGGCTGATCCTTCTGCCGTTCGTCCATCCTAACGTTTCAGCAACCTAAAGGGAGAATGATCATTAGCTCATACAGAAAATACATGTTTCACAACGAAGAGGGGGAAGTGGAACTTATTAGGGAAATCTCTGAGTGAACCATCTGTTGAAGAGGAAAAGACTATATTTGCTGACACACACATACGCATGCACAGAATTGTCACAACTTGGTGATACGTTTAGGAATAACCCAGAAGCCAAATTCAACAGTAAAAACAGCTATCCAACAGGAAGAAATTACCTTCTATTTATCTTGAATACTTAAGTATGGAAGCAAACAAGAGACAGAAGTATTTGAATTTTATTAGACACCGAATTTATAGCATTGAAAATAATTACTTTGAAAATCATGAATCTGAATTTTTTTTGCTCCGAATTTATCTATGTGAAATAAAAATGTAAAAATTCAAGTTAAAAAAATTCGAATGTTCAAATTCAGATCCCAAAAATTCAAGTGAAAAAAATTCGACGTCAAATATTTCGGTGTTTAAAATTCGATGTAAAAAAATTCGGTGTGTAAAATTCGACGTCAAAAATTGCGATGCAGCCTCATCCGGGCTACTCAGACAGGATAAGCAATCGAGCCCTAATGCAATCAAACCGACTTCTGGCCTATCAGAGCCAAGCGGCAAACCCCGGGACAGTGCGGTGAAGCCCAATGCTGCAAACTGTAGGCGATGGATGCAGATGGGAGCAATTCCCGTAGACCCTTTGTTAAAATGTCCAACTTAACATCAGAAAATGAACATGTTTCTAGCCTGGATCTACAAAAACATATTCTGTATATAGTTAGATTCCCCCTTCATGACAACGGGACTGCTGCTCCTAGCTCCTCTCTGCTAGCTCCGTTAGCTCCGTGATGCTACAGCGGCTCAGCGCATGAGGAGAACACTACTTGAACTCGGCAGTGTTTGTTGTGTTGGTTCCTGGTGGACTATTCGTCCTGCAAATATAGGATTTATCTGCCGTTGAAACAGACCGTCCATGAATGCAGTTTCTTCGGTAAGTCAACCCTGCGTACTTTATGTTATGTTACTGGTGTTTTTATTAAGCTAACGTTAATGAATGTTTAGAGTTGGGTTAGCATTTGAGCAATCGTAGCTCCATCTGTGCTAACGATGCTATGCGTAGCATCCAAGAGTGTAAAACATTAAGTGGGATGCTACTGTATACCAAAAGGCTTCTGTGCGAGGTTGCTAAAATAAGGTCATCTTTGTACGTTAGATAGTTAGTTTGCTATTTAGGTTACTGTATGCATTGTTAAGGTTCATTTAAATTCGCTATGCTCTACTATAGCATAACATAGACTAGCTAACGTCAACGTATTGTTGAAGAGAGGCTTAGTGTATATTAAATCAACCTCACAATGAAATGTGTGTATCTTTAAAATATGAACGTCACATTTCAAGATAATAACGCTCCCTTAGATATTGTAATATGGTTTGTTGAACTGGAGTTATTTATTGCAGCTAACCGCCTATCCGACGAACGACCCAAACATTGTTGTTTTTAATATTATTACCAATGCCTCTTTTAATTGTATTATCATCACACTTGAGAAACAGCCTCATCGTGGCTGTAGAACAGAACATGTAACTTAATTCCTGCATTTAAGGACGATGAATAGCGTAGTCAATGCTTTAGTGACAAGGAAATGATTTGTTTAAATATTATATATGACGTTATCTGTGACTTCAGTGGAAATTAAGCTTATCCATTGCATTGCATTTGTTCAATAGGTTTGTGTCTAACCCCTACGTGTGTGATGCATATGAATATGGCATATGAAAACAAATTAATTTGACTGACTCATGAAAACCTCATCCAAAGTAACGGTAAAATAAAAAGGACCTACACAATAATACTCAATCAAACTGATACAGTATAAGGACTGTGATATCCAGCCATTTCTTAAGTATAACAATAAGATTATGACCTGTTTTTAAAAGAAGATAAAAAGTTGTTTGCATGGAAAGAAGTCTGTAACCCATGCATGTAACTTTACATCTGTTTGTTCAAAGTCTCCTTAAGGTGATCCAGACAGGCTGGACCAGAGGAGGAGAGACAGATCTGGACCAGAGGAGGAGAGACAGATCTGGAGTCCTAGCAGCAGAGAACTTCAGCACGGATTCCAAGGTACACCTTTTTCATGCTTTACAAAGAATGCATAAAGTAATGACTCCAATACACTGATAGACATGCCATTAAACATGACTGAAAACTAGATCTCCTACACATCAGTGATGTTGAGTGTACTTTCTTAGCAAAAGGTTACATTTACATTTTACCAAGCAACATCACATAGTGAGAGCTGCGACCCTTTGTCTTTCAGTGAGACAACCGAACAGAGCAAGCTTCCACAGTTGCACTAAGTTTTGATAACAGTTAAATATTATTTTAATAATACATTTATTTTAATGTTGATGAATTTAGAACGGTTTATTCATAATCTGATTATCTTTGTAGTACACTGTTGGATTTAAAAAACACATTCAAATAAAAAAAATCATTATATTTATGAACAAACAAACACACCTCTTTCTTAAATAACACACTTGCTCTGCAATAATATGTTTTTTGATATTTCTGTTAGGAAAGGACACGCCTGAGAGACAGGACTGCTTCACCATGTTCTCTTTCTCTGAGGGTCCAGAAGAACATCCAAGAGGGAAAGGAGAAGCTGATGAGATTTAAGAGCATTACAGGACATTCACTAAGAGACACTTGTATTGTAACACAAAGACCTGCACACTGACTAGTTTTGTAGTCTAACAGGAACTTCATTTGTGTTGTTTTGTGTTTTACGTTGCACAGAGACAGTGTGATTACTGTCAGGCCTATAAAGTTTGGCAAAAAAAAAGTCAGCTGATCAAATGCATTTGCACTTTGAGCTTCACATCACTTGTGCCTTGTGCCGCCGAGTTTGGAACGTCATAAATAAATGGTACCAATCTTCAGTCAGATGTGAATGTGTAATTTAACATTTTCAGTAAGAATAACGGACAAAAGGAGTGCAAATACAATTTATTGAAATGTGAACTAAAAGTTATCAAGCATGAACCATCACCATTTAAAAAATAAATAAAAACGAAATAATATACATAAGTTACACTAAATGTTAATCTGTTAATTGACAGGCTAGGCCTGTGCAGGTGGTAACAGCTATGCCCAGCATGGGCTAAGTTCTGTAGGTGCAGCTGGTGTAAGTCCTCCTCCATCAGGCCTGCAGGGTCTTTCCCTGCGAGGAGGACTCCTCGCAGGGAAAGACCCTCAGCCCTCTCCGGTCAAAGCAACAGACAGGACGTTCATAAAGCTGAGGTCTCCCCCAAAGTCTCTAATCATCCATCCTGTGAATATGAGAGGGGAACAAATAGTGTAATAGATGCTTTGGACAATAAGAAATATAAAGTTAACTGTTGAGTTGCTCAGTTTTTTAGATTGACAGGGTTTAATAACACAAACAAAAGGAGAGAAATAAAGATTGGTCTTTCAATACATTGTGTTGATTTTGTCTTTTGAATTGTTTGTGTGAAGTCAAGTAGCTAGAACTGTTACTTATAGTTTGAATGATACAGTCTGGTTATAATGTGTGGAGGAGGCATCACAGGTAAGAGCACCATTTGTTGTGTTCCATCCACAACACATTGATGTGTGTGTATTTATTTATCTACTATTTCTTGAATCATTACTGTCAGTCCAAAACAAGAGATTTTGTTTTGGTAACATTTAAAAAAAAAAAAACATTATCTCTTTTCCACTACACTATCTTGAATACTTTAGTTTTTACGTCACTACATTTATCCAACAGCTTTAACATTGTAACGGTGTCACTTCGGACTCTGGGTAATTATGACAGCATGTCCTACTCAGAGCCCTAGAGTCTCTCGGGCTCTGGTCCTACTAGTTTGAGACTTTGAACAAACCAGACCTGAATTTGAACATTCGAATTTGTTTCACTTGAATTTTTACATTTTTATTTCACATAGGTAAATTCGGAGCAAAAACATTCAGATACATGATTTTCAAAGTAATTATTTTCAATGCTATAAATTCGGTGTCTAATACAATTCGAATACTTCTGTCTCTTGTTTGCTTCCATACTTAAGCCACAACACAGTGGATAATTCCACTATGGAGCAAATAAATAGCTAATTATAAGCCCGAGTCTGCCACCTTGTGGTTATATCAATATTAACAGTCAGACATACTGGAAAGTCGACATAAAAATGCAAAAGTTGTATACAATCTAAAGGTCTTCTTCCCTTCTGAGCTTGCAAGAGAAACGTGAATGCTGTAAAGAAGTGTTCACAGACAAAACTCAGATTTTCAGGTATAAAAGCCCTTCTTGTTTTTACCAAGATAGCACTGCTACCTTTGAAGAAGGGTTTAACTAAAGCAGTGACTGAGGTCAAATGTGAACTAACCCCAATGACACACATTTCCTCTTTCTTACTCCTTTTTCTTCAGCATGCCCTGACAGTTGCTGAGAAGTCTGATAGGGTTAAGTGAAAGACGATCCAGTCTGTCTCCAAAGAGAAAACCTATCTGCTGTGTCACATTGAGAAAGAAATTACAAAAACTCAGTGATAGAGGATCGAAACAGCTGTTATTACAGCAGTGGAAAAAGTCTCCAATGAGCAGCAAGGACGAGTCTTCTTGAATAGTTACTTTACTGGAGGAGAGGACTTGTACTTCGTACTTACTCTTTGTGGAGCACTGAGCATCTGATGGGTAAAGAAGGATAGTTAATTGGTTATTAGCACATTGACACATAATGATGTGTCATTTTTTATGTGCATTTGTCAACTGCTGCATTTTTCAGTGTCCACTCTGCAGGGGGGGGGCTGCTTTTAATGTGGATTTGGTATGCAACTCAAAATATTGAGATATTAAAAAACGTACTGTTTTTTTGCTGCATTTTGTGAATATACTTGAGAAAAACATTGCTATTTGTAGAAGGCAAGTAATGGCACAATGCCTCAGTAAGTAAAAGGTGCTGCGACAGAAAGTGTTACAACTATTCCCGCTCTCCCCTAAATGGATACCTTCTGAACAAACAAGCATCAAAAGGGTTTTAGACGTTACTGATTGAAGTCGGTGACCGGTAATACTGCTGATTTCCGCTCCTGCTGCACAGTTAACACTTGATGGGATTCGCTCAGCTGCAGAATGTTAATCAGAACCTGAATGGATGATAGGAATGAAGATCAGCAGGACTCGGTGTCCTAAGGAGCTAAATGAAAAGCCTTGCCCTTGGAGTGAATTCATAAGACGTCTGAAGAGCTTCCCGTACAAAAATATCAGTTTGATTCAACCACCTCTTAAAATAAGATAAAATGGCATTTATTCCAATGTCAGTTCAAAATGTAATATTTTCAATTTAGCGTTCAGACACTTTTTACAGCTGTAATTGCGGTTATGCCAAATCAGTCAGTTTCAGTACATCAGGAACAAATTAGCAAAATAAATCATTGTTCATCTTCACAATTTGTCATCACTATTGAGGGTCGAAGCTTGATAGCTTATAATGAAATTCGACTTGACTTTGAAATAGTTTCAAAAACTCTGAACTCAAGGTCAACTGACTACAAGTAGAGCTTTCTGTGGTACAACTGAGCCAATCGTGAAATGCAGTTGAATTCAGGATATTGTACCAATACCTCACACATTGGTTACAATAAACTACCTATACTGTAAATATCTAAAAAGACACGCTCTTACAGCTTTCAAATTTAGTTGTGCATAAAAAGTCAATACTAGAGTCATGAACTGTGTGTCTGAATCCCCAATACAAAAACAAACAAGTTCATCCATGTGCGTCATGAGTCCACCGTCTGGCTGATTGTGTAACATAGAGAGGAAATCAGGCTGGTTGGTTATCAAGAAATTGTCATTGACCTTCGGTGGCTGACAAAGTGACCTGTTTACTTTGTCACATTCTCAGGCTGGAACAGCGTTAGCAAATTGGAATAAAATAAAGTCTACCAATAGAGGTTGTTGCCAATGCTTTATAGTTTAGTCTGAGCAAGGTATAGGCTAATGTCTTATATCAGTCTGATGCCGTTGGACATTAATTACAATAGAACACATTTTATGTAAATACAGTATATTTACATGATAGCAAAAAAGTATATTTTTACATTATCAGTTGAGACGTTCCCATCTGTGTAACGCAAGTTGTGTTTTTATAGATGCTGGGGCTGAGTGATATGGTGGAAATCATTAAGACAATTTGACAGTGGTGTAAAATAACTGAGTACATTTACTCAAGTACAGTACTTAAATACAATTTTGAGGTACTTTACATGAGTAATTTAATTCCATGTTCTGCTACTTTGTACTTCATTACAATTCAAATCGTGTACTTTTACTCCCATGCATTTATTGAATACCTTTAGTTACTTTGCAGAATATAATCAACAATTAAGTAAGACTTTAGTTACACCTGGAGTAAATTCACAAGCTACTTTAAAGTAATTAAAACTAGCTGCACCTTTACCAGCTTTGATAAACACGAATCTCACAACCAGTTAAATGCTAGAGACACTTATTTAAAGGTCACATATCCCACATGATTAAGTAAATAATATATCTAAAGAAAGATTCAGCCCACTTAAATTATAATACTGACAGATCATGACCATAATGACAAAATAAATCAATGTGTTTCCACATTTTTCACCAGGCTGATTGGTTAGTACTTTGGGTAAACTCACCATGCAGGCTGTATATCCAATGCTTTCAGGACGACTACTGACCCGACAGTATACACAGAAATGACTGTCATCTGTCTCTGACAAATGATTAACTTTGATGAGTCACCACATTTGTTTCCTGGTCTGTCTTGGTAATATAATACTTGGGTCAGCAGAGTTGTGGTAAAAAGAAACATTAGCTATGTTTCTGTACTATTTGATAGCACTACTCTACTTTAAAAACATGGCGTTGCTTTGTCAAGAGGCAGCTGAATGTCCTCTGACCAGCTGTAATTACAGAGGGTGAAAAGAGGTGCTGCAGCACAGGCAGTATAGCGACAGCAGGAAACAAACAAAGTCGCTGAGAGGCTGAGGCTGGGCCTGTTTGATATTGTGTGACACGCTACAAAAAAGTACTTGCTGAAATCAAAATCTCTGTTGCAAAATAATGTGGTTTAATGAAAACTGGGATAATCAACTTATACTCCTTGGACATGTACATTGTTATTTTACTCGAAGCAATCATTTAGACTTGCGGTCAACAAAAAAGTACAACGGCCCCGTGTCACCCTCTCTTCCACACACACCTCACACAGGTGAACAGGATTATAATGAGTGCCGCCCATATCCATGTGACCCAAGCCAACCAATCAATAGTGATCAAACACATATCTTATATTAAAACATAAAGGATTACTAAACATGTTTCATGGCTCCTACACACCAGCCTCTAATTATTAGGTTAGTATACATAATAATTACTAACTTTATTCAAATGGGAGACATGTGACAATTATAGTTTAGTAATCAAGTCCATGCAGTTGCAGTTAAATGGTAAATGGACTGTACTTATATAGCGCTTTATTTAGTCTTTAAGACCCCTCAAAGCGCTTTACATACTACATGTCGTTCACCCATTCATACAGAGCAGTGTATGTTACTCTAGGACCTAACATGCATACACACTCACACACCGTTGGCCATGCCATCGGGAGAAACTCAGGGTTAAGTATCTTGCCCAAGGATACATCGACATGTTGACTGCATGGGCTGGGATCGAACCCACAACCTTCTGGTTGAAAGACGCCCGCACTCCCTCACAGCCACAGTCGCAGTTGCAGCTAATGCATGTTTAGTTTTCCTTCTTCTTTTCTGTGTACGAGTTATAAGTCAGTTAGGCCAACAGGTACCACCACCTAGGCTCAGTCAAAGATAATCCTTAGTGTATTTTAAGTCTGTCAGTCGAAAAGAGTCAATACTGTGGAAAATATGTCACTGATGTTGGATGTTCTTCCGTCTCTTCCTGCCGTTTCTGCATCTTCTCCACGATATTCTCGCTTTGATCGCCCCACTCCTTTAACGAGGAGCGCAGCATGTCCTCGTCGTCTTTGACTCTGAGTCCTTCGGCCTTGTAGAGCACGTTGGTCCACTTCATCCTGTTCTCCATTTCTTTGTTTGCAGCGGGGGCCTTTCTGAGCAGCCGTTGAAGGAGAGGGCTTTTGTTGGGATTTGAGATGAGGCTTCTTCTCATCTTTAAAACTTTTCTTTTTACACTTCTTCGACTCTTGCTGAAAAAACACTCTTCGCAAACTTCTTAAACTTGAGATCCTCTCTTGACATTCCAGCTTGTTCCTCCAATCTGCATTCAGGGAAGTCTGCGCCAAACTGCTGTTGCCAAGGTCCATCCAAATTCACAACTGAGATTCTGTTCACAGATACTTCTGGTTTGTCAAAGTCCATTGCATTCCCACTCACTCCTTTAAGTGGTCCATTCACTGTCCAGCCAAGGATTGTCCTGCTTGCATAGGGTCCGTCATCCACACTGCGTATGACTTCCAATGGTTCCAAGGCCTTAAGAACATTGGTTCCTATCAACAGTCCAATCCCTGCATTTATTTCAGGCAAATTAACATTTTTCAGATGAGGCCATCTTTGTAGGTCTGCTTGTCTAGGAATGTTCCCACTGCTGGCAGGCATGCACTCGTGGGTGGCAGTTCAAAGAAATTGTCATTTTTTAAGCTAGCCACTTCTAGTCCGAACACAATATGGCTATTTACGACCCTTTCTTGGCCCATGGTTCGTAAAAGAATCTGAGCCTTCTTTCCAGTTAGGCCAAGCTCGTGCATCAGATCCTCTGTACAAAACACTGCTGTACTTCCTGGGTCCAAGAAAGCATAGGTGGTGACAATCTTGCTGCCCTTCGTTGACTTGACTTGCACTGGAACTATGGGAAGTTTACAATTGTCATCACCAGCCCCTGTAAGGCCACTTGAAACCAGTGTGCTGTCCACTGATAGCTCCGATGTATTCTTGGCTTGAGCAGGATTGTGTCTTGCTTCATTGGAAGGGATGTGAAGTATGGTTGGATGTTTGAAGCCACATTTTGAACAGGAAATTTGTTTATTGCAATTTCTGCTAATGTGCTCCACGCACAAACAGCCGAAACAGACACCTTTTTCCATCAAGAAGCCTATCTTCTCTTTGTGTGTTCCTTTTTCAAGCTGATGGCATGAGTCCAAGGTGTGACTTCCTCCGCAGCACAGACATGTAGGGGTGCAACAACTAATCGACTTAATCGATTAAAATCGATTACCAAATTAGTTGCCAACTAATTCAGTCGTCGATTCGTTGGTGACGTCATCACTTGTGTTTTACGCGCCGTTAAGCTCCAACGTTATTGGTCTTTTTATCGGTACTGGAGACATTTAAAAAATATATGTCATGTATTATTGCTACATAAACATTATATCACAGTTTTAGTGTCGCCAACCATAGATATATATAAACACTAGATGGCTCATGGGAGATTTTCCAGCGTAGCTCACCGGCCGCCATCTTGCTACAGTCAACAGCTACTCTGGTACGCGCTATGGTAGCTGTTGTAAGGTGAGTGATCTGCACAAAAATACTCTTAAATCGCTGAAATCTTGACTGATTTACAAACTGTTTTGTTTATTATAAACGTTATTAGCATGGCTATGATACAGGATGCTTGGACATGTTGAAATTGCAGCTTTTCTTTGTGTATGACGTGGTTGTATTTATTAGCTGGCTAATAACAAGAGGCTGTGAGTGAGACCTAGTATTACAAAGTTGACCCAGCAACTTTACACCAGTGGGAGAGGCAGAACTGCGCTTTCTTTTCAACATAATTTAAGTTACACATGATTTCTTCCAAGTGGTTGGGCTTGTTAAAAACATCTTACATTTTAGATACATTATTATACAGGAAATTGCTGGCTTTGTGTTTACAGAAGTACCTGACTATGCCTGACTTTTGTGCAGCCTACGGCTGCTCTAATCGCCGCAGTCTG